TCCAAGGGGATTGGCAAGGATGAAGTATGCCCATTTGTAAAAGTCTTTGGATGTGAGGCCTGATTCCCTCTTGGGCCTCTTTGCTCATAGGGTATTGTTTGATTGAAACCAGAGTTGCAGATGGTTTTAGTGTAACCACTATTGCTGGTTGTATGCTAGTCCTGGGCCTCCTGTCTCGGCCTATGCCGAGGGGATTTTACTTAGCCAATCAGATATACCAGGAATTTCTGCTATCGGTCCCTCATATAACCAATGTTCATCTTCCAGCCGCAAGGTTAATACCTGTAGTGGAGCTCCATCTTTTCCTTTTACAGTAGCTCCCTTTGTAGTGAAATGGATGTGGGCTCCCAACTTGGAGAGTAAATCTCTCCCAAGAAGAGGGTATGGACAGTCAGGGACCAATAAGAATGAGTGGGAGACTCATCTTGTGCTGAGGTCCACTTTTCTTTCTGTGGTCCATCTGTATGTTTTTCCTCCAGTGGCCCCTTGGACCCAGGCTGTTTTGGAACTCATAGGTCCCTCAGTTGTTGTTAGGACCGAGTGCTGAGCTCCTGTGTCTACCATGAAGGTAGTCAATTGCCCCCCTATCTTCAAGGTTACCCTGGGCTCAGGGGGGAGCTCCTGGCCCTGACTTCCCTAGTCCCCTAGAGTCAGGACTGGGGTTGTTTTCTTTTAAAGTCTGTTCAGCTTCTTCGGACATTCTCGAGCCCAATGTCCTCTCTCCTTACAATAGGCACACTGGTCTTTATCTACTTGGGGCCTTCTCTTGTCTCCCAGGTTCCTACCTGGTCCTGGCCCTGTTCCCTGAACTACTGTGGCCAAAATTTTAACTTAATTCTTTATTTTTCTTTTACTAAATCCTGTAAGGAGTACCCCTGAAGGCCCTCCAGCCATTGGAGTTTACCACGAATGTCAGGAGCTGATTGTCCTATAAAGGCCATAATAAGATCTGCCTGATGCTCCTGGGCTGTGGGATCAAGCGTTCTAGAGACCCTATGGGGGTTTCATTTTCTCCTTGGGTTATAGCATGTACCTTTGCCAAATTGGTCGGGCGCCTTCCGGCCCCTTTGAGACCCGCTAACAGAGTCTGGCGATAAAGACGGAGACGCTCCCTACCGGCCACGGTTTCAGGGTCCCAGTTAGGTCTGGTCAGAGGAAATCCTGCGTCCATTTCATTTGGGAGCAGAATGGGTCTCCCATCCTGCCCGGGGACATTTTTCTGGGCCTCCAGGATGACTCGCTGTCTTTCTTCTGTGGTTAGAAGGGCCTGGAGGAGTTGCTGACAATCCTCCCAGGTGGGTAGGTGGGTGAGGAGAATAGACTCTATTAAAGCAGTTAGAGCCTGAGGATCTTAAGAAAAAGAGAGGGGTTATGAGTCTTCCAATTATACAAGTCAGAGGCTGAGAAAGGCCAGTACTGGATCTGATCCCCTATAGTTCGGAGGGGAAAAATCTGGGCAGTCCAGGTTCCATCAGAGGGGCCCCCTCTATCCCTCCTTAAGCGGAGTCTGTTAGCTAGAGGAGGGGATTTGTCAGGTTCAGTGGAGTCAGGAGAATGATAAGGTAGTTCTTGGGGTGGAGGTGCCTGCGCAGGTGGATAGGGAGGTGGAGTGAGGTGAAGGATCAAGGAGGGTTAGGAAAACTTGGTCCTCAGGGAGGACTGGCTTTTGCTTCTTCTTCTCAGGGGTAGACTTAAGGGGCAAGAGGGAAGAAGTAAGACTCAGGGTGGCAGAAAGGGTAGGAGGCCCCTGGTCAGTTTCTTCAGTTCCCCTAGGAGGTAGGAACTGCTGTGCCCAAGATGTGGGGTTCCGGGCCAAGTCTTCCCAGGTGACTATGTAGGCCACCTGGTCCGGATGTCCGTATGGTCTTGGGTGGAAAGTGTATTCCTTAACCGGCAAGATAGTAGCAAGGTCAAAAGTCCCATCCCTTGGCCATCCTTTTTTGAAAGAGGGCCATACAGAGTAGCAGAGATTCTGCCACTTCTTCTGGACCTCCAGTGATAAATTGTGGGCCCGTTCCACGACCTCCTTCCAGTGTTCCAGAGTTAAGCTTAAAGGGGTAATTAGCGATTGACCCATAGTGGAGGTCACAGAAAGGAGAGGGGGAGAGTAAGAAGGAAAGAAAGAGAGAGAGAGAGAGAATATACTACTCCAAATAATAATGACCAGTGGGTGTGCTTATGGACGAGTACCTAACATTGCCCAGTTTTTCTTCTTCTGCAGGGGACGTGAATTTATCTGGGATTCATGCCTGGGACCCCCTTATCCTTCCACGGGAGTCTTTTAGCAGCGAGTGCCCTATGGCTTTTATTTGCTCGACCTCTGCCCATGGGGCTTTTTTAGTGGCCAGAGAGAGAGAAAAACGGAGAGGAGAGGGAGCCCAGTTTTGCTTCTGCGGGGGATGTGAATTTATCTGGGATTCACGCCTGGGACCCCCTTATCCTTTCACGGGAGTCTTTTAGCGGCGAGCGCCCTATGGCTCTTATTTACTCGACCCGTGCCTGCGGGGCTGTTTCAGTGGCCAGAGAGAGAGAGAAACAGAGAGGAGAGAGAGATACAGAAAAGCTGCCTTGTCTCCACCCGTGCAGGCAGTCAGGGTCCGCTAAGAGGGCTAAGAGCCTTTGGCTTACATCAGGGAGTAGCCCTGACCAGAAAACCTCAATTGCTCTTTTGCCTTTAACGGTCCCACATGAAGACTCAGACCGAGAATAAAAGGAAGGAGGAAAGGAAAATTTACAATACAGAGTATTGAGAAAATTACAAGACCAGACCTTCCTCTATGTAACTAACACAACCATCAAGCATACATACCACATTAAATCACATTCGTGTGGACCGGTCCTTCTTTCATTCAGACACATGCTGCACCCACCATTCTCACTTTTGGGATCCCTGAACACAGACACAGACAATACACAGAACAGAGAATTTCTTGGC